GGGGGGGGGGGGGGGGGGGGGGGGGCAGGGGGCCGGGGACAGCCCCGGCACACCACAGCAGCCCACCGAGCTCAGTTTTTGGGGGACCCCACTCCCGTGGTCCCCCCGCCGCCATCCCCAGCGTTGTAGAGGGGACCCAGTCCCGTTGGGGTGCCCAGAGTGGGAGCGGAGCTCCCGCGCCCCCACCCAGCCACACACAAATCCCAGTGCTCCCCGATGTGCACGGACTCTTCGCTGTATTTGACACGAAACCAGCCCAAAAATTCATATAAAGGCATTACTCGGAGCAACAGCAAATGGCAACATTTCACCAGGGACGGCGGCCGCCGAGAGCGCAGAGTTGAAGGCAAACAGGCAGCGAGCCCGACTGCACGGGGCTACCCCGGTCCCCCAGCCCCGCCGGCCGGGACCCCCCGCCAGCCCGAGCACACCGGCCCGGCACGGGGACTGTGGGGCTGGCCGGTGTCCCCAGCCCCCGGGGAAACACCGAGGCTGGGATGGCTCGTCCCCCTGTGTCGCCCTGTCTATAAATACCCGCGGGGACACTGACTGGCTGTCGCCCACCCCTCTCCCCCCTCGGGAGGTCACAGGGGCGCCTCCGCGCCCCCGGGGACACCCGCCCGCCTCCCCCCCTCCTCTCCCCGCTGTGCTTCGAAGTTGGGGGGCAGCCCCGGCCGCGGGGGGAGCGGAGCGGGACCGGAGGGTGCGGTACTCACTTTGTCCTTCAAATTTGCGAATGATGGTGTCCAGATAGGTGTTTTGGGGGGCCACATGGCCCCGGCGCACCGGCATTGCTCCGCTGCGCTCTGCGCGCCCCGGGAGCAGCGGAACTTGCCGCGGGCGCGGCGGGGAGGGCGGCCCGACCCCGGAGCGGCGCGGCACGGCCCGGCACGGCGCGGCCCCGCTCCGCCTTACCCCAGGGCTGACCGAGCTCTGGAGCCCAGCCGGCCCGGGGCTCCCATGCTCCCGGTGGCCGGAAGGGGGAACCCCTCAGCCCGCCCTGCCGCGCCCGGCCCCGGGCGGGGGCGGCCGGGTAGGATGAGGATGGGAGGGGGAAGCGGGGGAGAGAGGGGGGAGGACCCGCTTGAAAGCGGGAGAAAATAATAGAATAAAATAATAAGAGTAGAAATCCCCAAAGTGCTTAGTCACTGCTGCCCCGGCCAGCCCGAGGGGGAGCCGTCAGCTGCAACAGCTGCCGGCCGGGGAGCTCGCACCCCCGGCGGCCTCCGGGGCTCCCCCGGACCCCCGGCACCCGCACGGCCCCGTCTGGCACCGGCCCCGCGGGCGGGGGCTCCGGGCGGGGCGCGGGGCGGGGCAGGGGAGCAGGTGGGTGCTGGGGTCCTTGAGGGGCTGGGGGTGCCGAGAGGTGAAGGAGGCTGGGGGGCACTGGCACGGGGAATTATTAGAGGGTGGAGGGAGAGACCCTCTGGGGCTGGGATGGGGGGTGCTTGGAGGAGCGGAGATGGGGTCCTTGGGGTGCTGGCAAAGGATGTCCTGGAGGGTTGGGGTGTTGGAACTGGAGGTTGTGCTGGGGATGTGGAGATTTGGTGGGAGTGCAGCTGGAGGTTGTGCTGGGGGCGCTGGAGGAAGGGGTGGTGAAGGAAGGGGTGCTGGAGAGGGGTGCTGGAGGAGGAGGCGCTGGGGGTGCCGGGAGCTGACGGGTGGGGATGGTGAAGGAGGATGGTGGAGGAGGGAGTGATGAAGAGCGCTGGAGTGCGGGGGGTGGTGGGTGGAGGGGGGCGTGCAGGTAGTGCTGAGGTGCGGGGGAGGAGGAGATGCAGAAGTGCAGGGGCAGAAGAGGGGGTGCTGCTGGGGCGAAGTGTCTGTGGGTGCAAGGGCGCAGGAGCAGGGGAGAGTGTGCTGAGGAGGGGGCGCAGGGGTGCAGCAAGGGAGAGGGCGCCGGTCGGCGCAAGAGGCCCGAGTGGGGAGTGTCGGGGGGTGAAAATGGGGTGCAAGGGAAGGAGGGCGGGGGTTTTGTCGGGATGTTGGGAATGCCGGGGAGGAGGTCAAGGTGTTCCTGCGGGGTCGGGGGTGCCGGGCCCCGCACCTGGCGCTGTCCAGCTGCGCTGGTGCTGAAGGGGCGGGCGGGAGGGGGGACTGGCTGCTCGTTTGGGGGGGGGGGGGGGTTGGGGGGGGGGGGCCCGGCCT